TGAACTTGGAGCCTGATGCAGGGCTTGATCTCAGGACCCCGAGATCATGACCTGACCTGAAATCAAGAGTCAGACACTTAATGGACTGAGCCACCCAGGCACGCTAGCCTCAGTTTAATAATAGTTACATACTTCCTAAAAGTGCTCCGAAGCGAATAGGGGCAAAATGATCTTAAGATTCTCTGTAGAAGTCCAAAAATTCCAAAATACGTATTTGCCAAAAATCTCTTTGGCTTGGGTAGTGCTTATTTTGTTCCTTTTGATTAAGTCATTTATTTTAAACCATAGTGAAAGCAGATTAATTTTTATACTCCTTACTCCAAGTATTTTCCTTGGACACGTTCAGCTTTTTATGTATTCTTTAGGTGCTTTCGGTTATCACCACATGTTGGCTAGGGTACTGAGAGCAAATCTTTCATTGCCCTCTTTGTTCTCCTCTGTAAATACCTCTCTTCCTACAAATATGTTCCTGCTGCCAGGATGCACACAGCTGAATGTGAAGAAATTGAATTTTTTTAGAGAAACCTCCTTTTAGTAGAAGATCTTGCTCTTATTTCATAGAGAAAAGACACCATTGCATGAAGACTCTCAGCCTTCCATCATCTAATCTAAAGATTCTTCTGCATTCCTGTCCACCATTTTACCCTTCTCTCATAATCCTACCTCATGTCTAAGGTGAATCCTTCCATATATTCTCTGGATCCTGTCCCCCTTTGCCCTCTCAGGTCTCAGCTCCTGTATTTTCAGCCTCTTCCTCTTCACTGAATCCTTTTTCAGTATTTTTTTTTTTTTAAAAAGAATTATTTTACAGCAGTTTTATGATTATAGCAAAACTGAGGGGAAAATACAGACATTTCTCATAAACCCCCCACCCCGACCCCACACATACAGAATCTCCCCCATTATCAACATTGCTCTCCAGAATGGGACTTTTTTTTTAACAGATGACAAACATACATTGACACATATCACTCAAAGTCCATGGTTTACCTTAAGGTTCACTCTTGGTGTTACACGTTCTGTGGGTTTGGGAAGACAGACGCACACACACACACACACACAGTGACCTGTATCCATCATTATGCTGTCATACAGAGTAGTTTCACTGTCTTAAAAATCTTTTGTACTCTACCTGGTCATTGCTCTCCCTACACCCCTGGCAACCCCTGATCTTTTTACTGTCTCCATAGTTTTTGCCTTTTTTCACAATGTCCTATTGTTGGAAACATACAGTATGTAGCCTTTTCAGATTAGCTTTTTTCATGTAGTGATAGGTACTTAAGGCTCCTTCATGTCTTCTCATGGCTTGCTAGCTCATTTCTTTTCAGGGCCGACTAATAGTCCATTGTCTAGAAGTACCAGTTTGTTTATCCACTCACCTACTGAAATACATCTTCGGGTCTTCCAAGATGTGGCAATTATGAACAAAGTTTCTATAAACATCCTTATGCCGGTTTTTGTGTTGGTATAAGTTCCTTTATTTAGGGTAAATACCAAAGAGCACGGTTGCTGGATCCTGTGGTAAGATTATGTTTAGTTTTGTAAGAAACTGCCAAACTGCTTTCCAAAGGGGCTCTGCTATTTTGCTTTCCCACCACCTGTGACTGAGAGTTCCTGTTGCTGCACAGCCTCATTTGTGGTGTTAGTGTTGTGGGTTTGGGCCATTCTAATAGGTGGGTAGTGGTAGCTCATTGTTTCAGTTTGCGTTTTTCTGGTGACCTATCATGGGAAGCACCTTTTCATGTGCTTGTCATGTGTATGTCTTCTTAGGGAGGTGATTGTTAATGTCTGGCTCATTTTATTTTTTAATTTAAATTCAGTTAGTCCACATAGTACATTGTTAGTTTCATTGTAGCATTCAACAGTTCATCAGTTGCGTATAACACCCAGTGCTCATCACATCATGTGCCCTCTTTAGTGCCTATCACCCGGTTACCCCATCCCCCCACCTACCTCCCCTTCCACAGCCCTCAGTTTGTTGCCCATGATTAAGAGTCTCTCATGGTTTGTCTCCCTCTCTGATTTCTTCCCATTCCATTTTCCCTCCCTTCCCTTATGATCTTTGGCACCGTTTCTTATATTCCACATATGAGTGAAATCATATGATAATTGTCTTTCTCTGATTGACTTACATCTTTGGCCCATTTTAAAATCACTTTGGTTGTTTTCTTATTGTTGAGTTTCCAGTGATACTAAACACAGTTAGATCTCTCACATGGTCAACCACCACAGCAACAGAAGCAGCAGGAACAACAACAAACCCCAAACCCTTGGTCTCCTCTCTTAACCCTACATCTCCCTCTGCCTTATCTTTGCTTTGTCTTTCACAGTGTAGAAGCCAAGGGCAGGCTGCCCCAAGCTGGGTGGCTTTGGCATGGAGATTATTCTGAGCTGAAGGCACTTGAGACCCTATGGGCTCGAGGGAAACTTTTGCCCTTCCCTTAACAGCAGAGAAGAATCTAACTTGGGAGTCTTTCCCGGAGTGAGGGTTATTAGCAGAGATAAATTTTATTTGAATGGCCCATGTGTATGGCACGACAAACATCTAATTACCAAACACCTGCTCTTCTTACTGCCCCGTGAAATGCATTCCTTTCCTCCAAAGTCCCAGACCCCCTGCCCCTTTGTCTTTAGTTCAGAATGATGTGTGTACCTCATCTTGCCTGTCTTTGGAATGTCCACATCTATGGGGATTCCCCTTACATACTCTCTTAAATTTGTTTTTCTCCTATTAACCTGTCTTATGTCAATTTGATTCTTAGTCCAGCTAGAAGGACCCTCGCAGGGGACAGGGGTTCTTGCTCTCTGATAGCAGACAGACTCCTTGACCAGGTTGTCCAGACTTGCTGTCTCCACTTCCCATGCCTCCCTCATCGCATGGAGGTGAGGCTTTTGTCCCCAGCCCTCTTTCTCTTCCAGCATTTCCGGTCTTAGAAAACGGCAGTAGCGTTCACCTAGTTGCCCATGCCCAAAGCCTGGGAAGTAATCTGATTTGCCGTCCTTTGCTCACCTCCCCACACAAAGCTAATCACCTGCTTCCATTGATTTGGTCACTCAGTCTCTCTCAAATTAATTTACCCACTTTTTCCCACCCTGATTGCCCCCTCCTTAGTTAACTTGGGAAGATACTGTTTCAGCTTTTAGGTGAAGGTCATGGGCAGGCTGATGGGTGTTGCCACGTGATGAGGTCATAAAGACTTAAGGGTGCTGGTGCCTGAACAGGCAGAAATTCTAGTCGCTGGAGATTTCCTTGTCATTTTAACATTCTCCTTGCGTGGGCTTTCTGTTTGAAATTGTGACTTCTACATCTCTCAGCTGGTTCCCTTTTACTTCCCTGGCATTTGCCTCTCATGTATGAGGCACACTTCTGTTGATCTTGGAAGTTCTGAGCTCACAACTGTCATTTAGCTCTGTGGTTGCGTCTTGGCTCTGATCCTCCCTAGCTGCAAGAGCTGGAACAGATCATGGACTCTCTCGACTCTTAGTTTCTTTAGCTGTAAAATAAGTGCCCCCCCCACCCCCACGGGTGTGGTTCCACCCTGGCTGCGCATTAGGCTCACCTGGGGGGCTTTTGGACCTCCCAGCCCGGGCTGCACCCTGGAGCCGTGACGTTAGCGTCCTGACTTGCCGCCCTCAGGATTGTTGAAAGCTCCCCTCAGAGATCTCAGTGTGTCGACAGGCTTGAGAACCACTGACTTTATGATTTTAAAGAACCACAACTCTTCTGTCAATGTGTGTTGTCAGTCATGCCCCAATCCCAAGTTGAGATTTTCCTTAATGTTTTTACTAAGTTGGGAGAAAATAGCTGTGAAGTTCCCCCCACCCCCTTCCATCTGCTGTTTGTTCTTATTTACATACGATGGAACCCAGCCCACTGATTTACAGTTCTGGTTCCCTTACAACTGTTATTGAACTGAAAACATAGCTGAAAACTTATTAAACAGAAAAAAAAATTATTTTGAGCTTTGTGCCGACAATTCATTATAGAACCAAGGAAACCTCAAAATTTTCCTTCGAGAATTAATGCTAAAAATGGATTTACAAGCCCCTAATCTTAAGTGAAAATTTTAATTCTGGTGCCAAACCTAGTATTTATTCTTTCTTGAGTGTCCTATCAAGAAAATCAAAGCATCTCTGTGAGAGAATGGGATTTTGGGGGGTTTGTACCCATAAACAGGCAAGACCTCCCCAGACTACTCTGCGTGGGCCTCTGAAGGCAAGTGTTAGCATCTCTTTTTCCCTAGCACAGGAAGGAAAGCCAGGGCAAACATACCATCAGTGTGGGTGTGTGGTCTCACTGTTGAAACACTCTGGAACAGGTCTTTCAGGAGACAGCTTTTCGGGAGCAGCCTCCTTCAGACCTACCATTTTAGGTTTGAAATAACCTAAGACTTTTTTAAGGTGCAAGGGAGTAGAGAGGAGAGCAGAATTACAGAGAACAGCCAAGCGTTTGGTGTGACCACTGGCACTAAATTTGTGGAAAACTAGGGTCCTGACAGAAGTCTGATTTATACTGAGAAAGAGTCCCTTGGGGTGCTGGCTCTCCCTTGCCTCTTTCCCTGTTAACAGTATCTCCTTCAACTGTTCAGTCACTTGCTTCTGTAATTCCGCCTGAAACACACAGCCCATGCCTTTGCATATCTCTCTCAAATCCTTATTAACTTTTGAAACTAGTTGCCACCTTGATAAGGATGGCTTAATTTAGTAGGTATAGAAAGATCAGTTATTAGGTCGTCATAACCTATGGTGAATTCCTTTCCCCATATAACCCTTTTACAACTGGACCATCAGATTGTTCTCTGCAAAGGAATGATTAGTTATCTTCTAGTGGTGGGGAAGAAAAGCATTTTCCTGGGGAAAGAAATGTTGCCAGAGCTTGGAGTCAAGCTGAAAGGAACCTGTTTCCTACCGTGTTTGGCACTGAACTATTTCTCGTGGCCCAGAAAACCTTGTCTGGAGCTTCTTGGTTTTGACCTGTCTCTCTTGGTATTTCCTTGTAGATGGAGGAATTGATTGAGGGTATTCGCTGGGCCTTTATTGACATGCTGGAGAAAGAAAATGAGTGGATGGACGCAGGGACAAAAAGGAAAGCCAAAGAAAAGGTAAGAATTCCTTTTGATAAAAAAAAAAAAAAAGAAAAGTATATGACTTTTGGTGTAATGGATTTTCACACTCAGTATTGTGTACTTGATTTTTATATTGACTGAGCTCTTGACTTCGAATGACCCCAGAGTCAGGTGTCTGTTTTGGGATGAATATATAGATTTCATCACCAGCAGGTAAGAAAAAATAAGATGCGACTTTTTTCTTTCTCGAACTGCATTTCAAACACGTTGTAATTCAGCCTTTCCTTCTCCCTTAATTGCGATTTCTAAGAGCCACGTGGCCCGCAGCCCAGCGAATTTTGCCACAAACCATCACTGGCTGTGGCAGAATGCAGAGCAGTGGGGGGCCATGTGTGTCCTTCTGCTCTGTGCACGATGTGTGCAGATGTCCTCGGGAAAATCCTTGCCTGCAACCAAGCAGGTCTACTTTCCTAACCCATCATGTTGCTCTCATGATCCAAATAGCATGCTTATGAACTACAGACCAGTGGTAGACCACAGCGTAGGAATGCAAAAATGTTTCCTAATAGAAGCGGACGCTTGGTGGGCCTTGTACAAAATTTTCTGGTACTGTGTAACAAGCTGAAGGAGTAAGAGAGACAAGTATTGGCTGCCATGCTGCTTAAACAATGAAGAACCAGCTGTATCTGGAATTCTAGGGATTCAGATGGAGCTGGAGCTCAAGTGGGTAGGAAATACCTCCTGCACGCTGAGTGGATGCTGCCCTGTATCTGGGAGACTCTGAACTAGGAGCATTTCTTCTTTAGAGAGGTATTTTATTTTATTTTATTTATTTATTTATTTTTTAAAGATTTTATTTATTTGAGAGAGAGAATGAGATAGAGAGCATGAGAGGGGGGAGGGTCAGAGGGAGAAGCAGACTCCCTGCTGAGCAGGGAGCCCGACGTGGGACTCGATCCTGGGACTCGATCCCGGGACTCCAGGATCATGACCTGAGCCGAAGGCAGTCGCTTAACCAACTGAGCCACCCAGGCGCCCTAGAGAGGTATTTTAAAAACTTGCTGATGATAGTAATCCCCTGGGATGCCTAAATGCCCCATAGCTCTCTGGGCCCCTCCCCAGCAAGGTCTGATTTAGTGGATGGAGGGTGCAGTTTGAACGTTTGTGACTTTAGCCAGTTTCCCTGGTGATTTTTATTGCTCGGTGGTCCTGGGGAACACTGCTTAGAGTCCTACTGGGTCATGCTGACTGAGTGCAGATCTTTTTGCCCTATGGTCAAGAAACGGAGAGGGTAGGGCAGTGAAACTACCCTCTATGATACCATAATGGTGGATACATGTTGTCGTCCGTTTGTCCAGACCCATAGAATGTGCAGCACCAAGAGTGAACCCTAATATAAACTATGAATTCTGGGTGGTAATGATGTATCAGTGCGGGTTCATTGATTGTAACAAATGTATACCACTCTGGTGGGGGAGTTTCTTAATGGGGACGCTATGCGTTGTGTGTGGTCAGGGGTTTTATGGGAAATCTCTGTTTTCTTTTTAACTTTGCTGTGAACCTATGACTGCTCGAAAAAAATAGTCTATTAAACAAAACAAAACAAAACAAAAAACCAAAGAGGGCAACATTCTGGGAATGCTTAGCCTTACTGAAATGAGAATGTGCAGAGGTTTAGCAAGGATGTTTTCTAGAGCTTTAATACTCCTGAGATGGATAAACATGGCCATAGATATTTTTGTCAATAGACACGAAAAGGCTGTTCACTGTTTGCAGTGAAGAAAGAACTTGGGTGGCAGGTGTTGTAAGAAGACAAAGGGTAAGTTGGATTTTTTTCCCCTCGAGAATCTGTCAAAGCCTTCTTAAGTCATGTAAGGCACAAGCTGATGGGGGCAGGAGCACGCTTCTCTGTGATGAGAAGCTCTCCAGATGGTAGACGAAACTTTTGGCACCAACATATTGTTGTTTTTGAAGGCTTCATTTATTTGCTGGGCTAGCTTCTGGTATCTGGAATAGAATTTGTCTTGCGCTGGGCAGTTGAGAGTTCAGAGCACTGGGGGACTCTTGATCCTAGGCTGACCCCTTGTGGCCTGAGGGTCATCCGTGTGGAGGGTGGGGTGGAGTGATGAGGTCTGTGTGCATGTGATGAATGGATAGATACCAGCAGAATGTTCTGGGGACTGCAAACCGTTTTTTTTGGGAAGTATGACTGGTTGCCTCAGGGGGAGCTCTGAGTTGCATAAAGGAGTGGGTACCTTGCAGTTGGGTCTTCTAGGCAAGTGGCCCATGGGTCCTTCCTGAAGGCACATTATTCTCAGTTCTTCTAATATTAGACATGTTCCTGTTTGACCCTTGAATTGCTCTCCAGTCTTATATTTTATTTCAATGAGAGCTGTCACTTTTTCTTCTAAAAGTACTCTTTGAACACTCCGCTTTCTTTGAGCTGAGTTCAACCTGCCAGGAACTCAACTAGTTCCTTGACAGGTACAAATATCAAAGGGAATTTTCCTCCTGGATCTCACCAGGCTCCCTGAGTATATCTTGTATTTCAGAGTTCAGGGAGATTCCGTTAATAAAAGGCAAGAAAGAGGGGATGTTGTCTGAGAATTTTCACCAGTTTCCCAAAGCATGTCAGGCCCTGGACCTCAGAAGATGCAGATTTTCTTTTTCTAAATTAAACCAACATGCAGTTCTGGAAATGACCTCTGGGTGGAGCTCGTAGACTCAAAGACACCATTTAGGAAGCTGAAGGCATCTATGCGGCTTTCTGTTCTGGGGTTGTTTTTGAAAAATTATTTTTTTTCTTGCCCTTTTTCTCTGCTGTCCTCAATTTGATTGCCTTTTAATAGTTAACAAGAAAGGAGAAGTTCTGCCTACTAATTCCTTGAGTCTTAGATGGAAATCTCAGAAGATCTTAGGGCTTTGTCTTTCTGATACTGAGTAGCTTCTGCATTAAGACAGGATTTGCCTGTGTTCGAAGTGGAGGTGAATGATTTGCCTGCTCTTCCTGGTATGACTTGGCACTGTTTTTGGGCATGTGTTGTATGCAGTATATCACCCAGGCAGAAGATTTCTCTCATCAATAATAGTGCCCACACTGAGCCAATGCTGAGTCACTTGGCAACCCATTGGGGAAGCTGGAAAAATGTTCTGATTTGCGAGTGGGAGAAGCTTTTCTTTGCCTCACCATGGAGCTCTGGACTGCAACAAATGACAGTACCTCCTGTATTGGGTGTTGACCTTATATTTATAAGTGTTCCCTTGTGCCGGCCTCATGAATGTGGAGGGCCCAGATACCTGCAGTGGCTTGAGGCCTAACAGCTTGAGTTGGGTGGCAGTGACCCCGGTTTCAAGATGGAACCATGGGATGTGACTTTGTCGTGTTCTTCACTACGGGTGATCACCATAAAAGATCAACGAGGATGCCTCTGCTCCTGGGAAGGGTAAATTTTGTATCTCAGTCTCCCAGCCTTGCTCCTCTCATCTCTTAAGGGGTCATGAGTGGTTTAGTTTGTGAAACTGACAGTGTAGATTTCAACTGGAAATTTAGTATCATGAAATAAACACCAGTTTTTGTTTAGGATTCTGTTTTCCTGCGAGCCTATGCTTTTACTGTAAACTAGCAGCAGAGGACAGGAAGCCTGTTATTTTTTCGGTTATCACAGACGTGGGATGAGTGTAAGGTGATAGAAATTAGTTTGGGGGGGTGTCTTCTGCCTTTTCTAGAACAGAGTAGGAGGATCTCAAGGTCACTATGTAGTGATTCTGAGGCCTGCCAGAAAGGGATGCAACACTGCCTTTGGCTGCCCTAGTGGCAGGAGCAGGGAGTCTGCTGGAGAGCTGTGTCAGATCAGGAGGAGCAGCTTCCTGAATTCGGCTGGTCCCCAGCTAAATTCAGTTCTGTATCCAAAAGCTGGATCCTTTCTGAAATATTTGTTTGTGCTCTTTACTTCTGGGACTGATGTTTGCCTAGCCACCCCTAGAGAGAAAGGCCTGGATGGAACTGCTAGGAAGGCAGCATCCTCAGGATCCTGTGAGTGGCCTTAACCTTGACCACAGCAGGTACAGAGGTTCCAGGAAGTGTACTACATGGTCCCATCACCACAGGCATGCAACTCCAAGACACAGGCTTTCAGCAAGATGGGAAGAGTTTTCTTGCAGAGGGCCAAACAAAAGTCTATTTCACCTCTCTGGCTTTGTCTCCACTTGGGAGGAAAAATAATCATTCCTTCTACCCCTCTAAGTACTTGACTGAGCCCCCTGTGACAAAAGATAGGTTAACAAGAGAAAATCAACCAGAAGTTTATTAATGTGTATATCTCATACATACATGAGAGAAATTCAGAAAAAAGAGTAACTCAAAGAGGTGGCTTAAAACCTTGGCTTATATAGCATCTTTAAAAAAGAACAAAAAATTTGCAGATAAATGACAAAGGAAAGTGGTTTTGGACTTCGAAGAGCAGCAGATTGTGGGAAACTAATGGTAGACACAGGCTAGTTAGTGAAGTCTGTTATGTACATGACTGGTGCTATCTCTAGGTTGATAGGGTTTAAAGTTGTCTTTGGTGATTCACCTTTGTCCTTCCTGGTAGAGAGGGCAGAGATGCATTAGAGATGCAAATTCCTGCGTCTCCCTAGACCTGCTGAACTCTGAGGTGGTGGTGTGAGGCCCACTGCCTTGCCGTTATCATTTCCTTGCACGTCCGTCTGGCTTCCAGCTGCTGGCACCTGCACTTTGCCCAAGAGCTTTCTCTTCCCATGGGAACCTGCTATGCCACTCATACAGAGGGCCCATGAATGAACACACCCAGTAACTGATGGGAGTTGCTGTGTGTGTCCCCTCCTCCCTCAAGTATGTGTTCAACATGGGCTCCTGGAGTTTCCCCAGTGGGGTGAGCTCCACTTGCTCACATGGTCAGCTGGCTCAAGTAGATTCCCTTTACTAATAGCCTGCCTTGCTCTGCTCACTTCCTCTGTCCCTTCCTGGTGTCTGATGTTTCTTTCACTGTTCGTACTCGAGTCCTTGTCCCCGGGTC